TACTAATCTCTTTACACTTCTGGAAACAGCTATGACGATTGGGTTGTAGATGGTGGAGGAGAGACTGAGGCCCAGCTGCACCAGATGCAGCAGCAGCGTGTTACGAGTTTTACGAACCGAAGCTTTGTCTGTGGACGCTGACCTCGCTGCCACCATCACACCAATGTAGGAGCACGTGATCACTACAGTCGCTGAGAGAAACACAAAACAAGTGTAGGCTTTGTCATAATCATCGGACAGAGGCCCGATCAACATAGCTATGTCCGAGCAAAAGTCATTCATCTGCAGAGTGTCCAGGTCCTCAAACGGGAAATCTAACAGCAACAGAACTCGGACGAGGACGTTCAGTGAACTAACGGCCCAAACCACAACGATGGCCACTGCTGTGTTTGTGATGGTGATGATGGTGGCGTGTCGCAGTGGGTGGCACACAGCTACGTATCTCTCAAGAGACATCACCAATAGCGTGAGAGGAGACACTTCATTGGTGAGTCTAGCAAGCATGTTGAGAACACCACACACAGGAAACGTCAGCCGTGTTCTACAGACAGCGATTATATACAGTAACTGGCTCAGGGTCATCTGCAGGGTATCGGCAAAAAGGAGGTTAAACAGGAGAACGTAACGAGAGGACTCACGAAACACTGCTTTACTCCTCAGGGTGAACAACATGGTGATGTTAATAAAGAAGAATATGCAGCAGGGCACAGTGGTCACAGTGGAGAACAGCAGTCTCTCCAGTAAACCCTGATACTGCGCTCCAGCTGTGCCATTGGTCATAGACAGATTTGCACTCAACATTTTAGTAACGTACAGACATGAGCTTCTTAAAGTAAACCAAGCAGTGACACAGATCTCTTCTTGCTCCTATTCCCACAACAACAAAGATCGTCTGTCGGCCCAGACGCCTGAACAGGGTCGAGGCTTCGCTTGTTTCCATGTGAGCAGAGCTCGTCTGCAGGGTCCTCCTGTCCTCGCTCTGCATATAATCGCTCTACTCGCATCACGTGACACCGTCACACAACTGGCTGACGTCTCTTCACTGGATAATCACACCACTATTCTCCCCCTCCCTGGTCATGTGATTTACAGAACATCTATCTCCTTGATGAAATTACAGGGGGGCATTAACTTCGATTGTTTCTTTACTTGTTTTACGTTTGTCTTTCAGACGTACAAAGAACATGTCCATGTCCAACATTAGTTCATAACTACAAGGACATCCAGTCTGTCCTCAAGGTCTGCGCGCCGATGACTTTAAATAAAGATGGACGACAAACATGTGGATCAACACTGATGTTTGTTTGTTCATGTTTCTGATCAGTTTGGCTTCGATTTGTTATTTGATGATATAGAAACGTGTTCAGACGTCATGATTGACAGCTGACAAGACTGACTGAGCGTGTTTCAGCTCCACTGCACAGACAAGACGTCACGTATCTTTATACAGTCATTGATGTACGGCACTAAAACGACTGGTGTGTGAAGAAAAGCTCTCATTTCTCTGGGTGGGCTGTCAGAGGCATCACAAAGTTATTCTACAGGTAATATATACTAACATCCAGCAGCCAATCACTTTGTGTGTCTTCTGGAACAGGTCGCACTGACAAGTAGCCTTTACGTTGATGCATAGCATAGCATAGCATAGCATAGCATAGCATAGCATAGCATAGTCTCAGAGATCAATGCAGCAAACTGCCACAGGCTGGAGCTGAGCCCCGGGTCTCTGCAGGTTGAGGCACTGGCTCTACCAGGTCAGCTACACGCCCTTACCTGCTTTTTAAACCTGGCAACGTCAGCGTCCTGA